CCATAAAAATTTCGATAGTGGTCATTTTGAATTGTTTAATTTTCCCGGGCGGTGACTATTAAGATCAGCATTCCTCGCGACTGATCAAGCCTTGTGACGTCATTATGCAGAAGGTCTATCACAGTGCAGCGCTCCAACCACGAAAGTTGCAATTTTTGTATCTGCTCCTGGTTACGTTTACAATTGTATTTTCCGCTCGAAATTACCATCTACAAAAGTCCTTCAAATGTCAGTTCTATATAGCCCTAAGCGAGATTCCCAAACCATGATGCATTTTTTCATACAAACCCTAAGAACATTTTCAGTCTTAAATTGACCAGTTGCGTAATAGACTAAATTTTGATCTCAATAAGTCTAGAAAAAAATTTCATCACAGCTTGAAAGAGCATCACAAAATTAGTAATATTCCAAAGTTTCATTGCGAAATGTTGTAAAATGCGGATAATACAGGGTGTATCAAAAAAAACTGAACAGATTTAAAATTGCTCTCAATTTCGCAAAACACCTATTTGTAGCTGGTTTTTTATATATATAGCTTCTTTGGGTACTTATAATGTAAAAAAATGAAAAATATTTTTCGAACTTAAATTTTGTGAACCAGGGGGTGTGTCTTTTCCAACAAAATAAAAATGGCTCGCGCACAAAATTTAAAAGCTGCAAGCATATTTTGAGATAACAGATGGAAAATTTGTCCGGATTTTAATTGCTGTACAAAATTTCAGACAATTTGGTTTAGTTTAAGCCGCTTAACTATTCACGCAAAGTTACAATTTTCCCGAAAAATCAGCTATTTGCATGCTTAATTAATGCATTTGCCTAATTTGCATATGTCAGCAATATGCAAATTAGGTAAAGGCATTCATTAAGCATGCGAAAGGCTGACTTTTTAGAACAAAATGAATAGTTAAAGGGCTTAAACTAAACCAAATTGTCTGAAATTTTGTACAGTAATTAAAAACCCGACAAATTATCAATCTATTAATTGCAAAAGACACACTCCCCTGGTTCACAAAATTTGAGATCGAGAATTTTTTTTCAATATTTTACATTATAAGTACCCAAAGAAGCTATATATATAAAGAAACAGATACAAATAGGTGTTTTGCGAAATTGAGAGCAATTTCAAATCTGTTCAGTTTTTTTTGATACACCCTGTATAGCCTTGCGAAGTTTGCCGTTTTTTCAGACATTTTCTATTACAAACGGGAAATTGACAGCCCCAAAGGGTATTGGGCTGGCTATATTCGCAAGGCTATATTATCCACATTTTACAACATTTCGCAACGAAACTTTGGAATAATTTTGTGTTTTTAATTTAAATCAAGGATCACACAAGAGGTTTTTGATAATACTTTTATTTTAGCTACGTTTCGGATAGTTTACTATCCGTCCTCAGGTTAACAAATTGTTCTTACATTTGACGTGTACAACTTTTAAACGTTCATCTTACGCAAGCTAATTTAAATTAAATTGCGTGCGCGCACGCGCGCGCTCGTTTTCCTTAATAAAGTATTGTTTAATATTGGCACAGAGTAGGAAGTTATACCAGAAGCTTAACTCGAGCAAATATTTGGCCGCGTTTTTACAAGCGATTCGTCATCAATCACGCCATCCTGGCTAGTACAACCGGCACTTTGTACCTACCAAATCCTGATAAAAACTTCCGGCTGTACTAGCCAGGATGGCGTGGCCTGACGTGAGCGAGTTAAAATTTTCGTGGACGTCAAACAATAAGGGAAACGACTAGAGTTACGCTTCTGGTATAACTTCCTATTCTGTGATATTGGTCTCCAAGTCATCAATGATTCAAAACTGTTTAAAACTTTCTTTTTGTTATGCCTTACCCTAAGAGACTCAATTCCTTCTATAACTTTCCGCTGTCTTAATCTATACTCATTTCTCAATATTCGCGTGTTCTCCCAGTCTATTTCTTCCGTACACTCTATACTGTGCCTTGCTAAACCTCCGTCTTCTTTCCCCATTCGTTCTTCTGCCACCGCTATTCGTCCATTTCTCATATCCTCGTTTGTTAATCTTACTTTGCTCTCGTGTTCTTTCTTTCTCACCTTAAACAACCTCGACGTTTCTTCTACATACACCGCTTTCTTGCACTTGCATGGGATCTCGTAAACAACAGATTGTTGTTTTTCGCCAAGTGGTTGTTGAGCTCTCGCCTTCAATTCCTTTATTTTATTTTATTTCGTGGTTTAAATGTCGTCCGAAATGAATGTTTGGAAGCTAATCTTTTTAGTTGTTCCGATAAGCCCTGGATGTAAGGTACAATTATCATTCCTCGATATTCTTGCTCTTCCGACTCATTCCTTTCGCGTTTATCCTCTCGCATGTATTCTCGAACCTTCTGTCTTTCGAAACCATTTGCCACAAACACATCTTCTACGTTCTTTAGTTCTCCCTCTAGGTGTTTCTTATCACATAACACTCGCGCTCTGTCTGCAAATCCTTTGATGATGCCTTTTTTCATACAAGGAGGATGATTCAATTTCGCTTTCACATTGATGTTGGTGTGTGTCTTCTTATAATGAACCATACACTCGACTTGTTTCGTTTTTCGATCGACTTTTTGTTTCACATCCAGTACTGGCAACGTATCTTCTACTTGATTTTCTTTCGTGTATACAATGACGTCTGGTTTAATGCTATTCAGGTGTTCGAGTATTTCTTCGGATTGATCTTTCTTGCACTTCATTTCACTGTCGTCTACATACCAATACCATTGATCTAGGGGATATGGAGATGTTTGCATTGCACGAATTTGAAACTCTTCCATATAGATTATGGCGACCTCACCAGTTACTCCAAGACCGATTGGTCCACTTTCTAATACGCAATGCTTGCCGTTAAACTCACAATAAGACAAACCAAACATCCATTTCAATATTTCCATTACCGATTGTACAGTTAAGTCAGTTATATTTACTAGGGGTTTACTTTCTCTTAACAACTTTTCAATCAATTTTAATGCCTCATCTATTGGAATCGATGGATATAAGTTCTTCACATCATAACTCACGAGTATCTCGTTTCTTTCAACACGCCAGTTTTTAACTTTTTCTCTCAATTCTCGTGAATTTTTTATATAAAGTCCACTTCTTCCCTGAATTGTTCTTAGAATTGGAATGAGGAATCTCGACAGTTTTTCAAAAGGCGATCCTACCGTTGAGACCACACCTCTCAATGGAACACCATCTTTGTGGATTTTTGGCAATCCTGGGTACCCAAAAGAGGGTGCAAGGGTTATCGAAACGATTGTCGAAAGAGGAGAAATTTCAAAAGAGGATGCAGAACGGTTAAAACCAAAGGACTGTCACGCCCCTAGGTTATCAGGATTGTGATGAGAAACACCTAGAGGGAGAACTAAAGAACGTAGAAGATGTGTTTGTGGCAAATGGTTTCGAAAGACAGAAGGTTCGAGAATACATGCGAGAGGATAAACGCGAAAGGAATGAGTCGGAAGAGCAAGAATATCGAGGAATGATAATTGTACCTTACATCCAGGGCTTATCGGAACAACTAAAAAGATTAGCTTCCAAACATTCATTTCGGACGACATTTAAACCAGGAAATAAAATAAAGGAATTGAAGGCGAGAGCTCAACAACCACTTGGCGAAAAACAACAATCTGTTGTTTACGAGATCCCATGCAAGTGCAAGAAAGCGGTGTATGTAGGAGAAACGTCGAGGTTGTTTAAGGTGAGAAAGAAAGAACACGAGAGCAAAGTAAGATTAACAAACGAGGATATGAGAAATGGACGAATAGCGGTGGCAGAAGAACGAATGGGGAAAGAAGACGGAGGTTTAGCAAGGCACAGTATAGAGTGTACGGAAGAAATAGACTGGGAGAACACGCGAATATTGAGAAATGAGTATAGATTAAGACAGCGGAAAGTTATAGAAGGAATCGAGTCTCTTAGGGTAAGGCATAACAAAAAGAAAGTTTTAAACAGTTTTGAATCATTGATGACTTGGAGACCAATATTAAACAAATACTTTATTAAGGAAAACGAGCGCGCGCGTGCGCGCACGCAATTTAATTTAAATTAGCTTGCGTAAGATGAACGTTTAAAAGTTGTACACGTCAAATGTAAGAACAATTTGTTAGCCTGAGGACGGATAGTAAACTATCCGAAACGTAGCTAAAATAAAAGTATTATCAAAAACCTCTTGTGTGATCCTTGATTTAAATTAAAAACACAAAATTATTTAATATGAACAGAGATGAAAGTTTCAGAAAAGCAAAGAAACTTTGGAATATTACTAATTTTGTGATGCTCTTTCAAGCTGTGATGAATTGTTTCTCTAGACTTGTTGAGATCAAAATTTAGTCTATATTACGCAAGTGGTTAATTGAATGCCATTTCTTCCATGTTGCATATTATAAGCTGACACCCTGCACTAATATCGAGTTGCTCTTTTGATTTCTGGGGTTTATTTTGACACAGCTGCTCATTTTAAGCAAAATGGAACAAAAAGGTTGAGAGCAACAGTTGCTTTTTATATTTAGGCGCGGTCACTAATTCAATATCTGCGGCTATTTATAGAATAATAGTAAAATTAATTTATCTTTTACCTGTGCACATTGAGACACTCTGTGTCTTATGCCTGGTGATATCGTGATATTTAAACTAAAATGTGCTCAAATCACATCCAAACTAACACACAAAGATGGGTACATCTTACATGTAGTAGAGGTATAAATGAATTTTATTTCTCAATTTAAGACAATATTCTACTTTTTTAGCAATTATTTGACGAATCGAATAAATATATATTTTGAACGAATTATTTATTATTCTCAGTAAATAGCCGGCTTTTTGTTTGACGTTTCTGATATTGAGTTAGTGAGTGCGCTGCAATATATAGCATGCTGACAAATATTAATCTTATTAATATGCATCATTGTTACGTCATCATACGTTGCGCGTGTGTTAAAAAGGAAAAGATTAAGAAATTCAATTAATATCCTATACCATCCTCTTTTTAGCTTCCACATTTCTTTGAGGGACATCACCGATATTCTATATACTGTAAAGATATTTTATTTGTCAACAAAATAACGAAGACTACAACCAGGTAAAGACTAATTAAGGGGTTTGTGCATATATATATAAGCCCACTGCAGTTTCCCTGACTTTATACTAATTTACTTTACATAACAATTTCACTATACATGAAAACCAGGGATGGATCTAGCATGATCTGGTTGGGGGGTGGGGGGGGGCTCTGGAGCCGATGCCGAGTTGTGTCGGTCATGTGTGCCGCCCGCCCATCAACTATTATTACTCAAATTACTGTATCTCATTTTGTCTTTTGCTTTATCATAAAAAATAGCACCCCCTGCACCCCCCCCCTCTGGCCAGGGCTAGGGGGGGGCGCACCCTCCGCACCCCCAGTAAATCCATCCCTGATGAAAATCAGGCCAGCCCGAGGAGCAGTTGCGAAAAATTCAATCATACACCCTCTGGGATTCCGAATTATTAAATGTATAAATTTTACACTCTAGATGGACCTAATTTTAGAGGTGTGCATCGGATCGGATTGGATGTTTATAATCCCACAGTTGGCTAATGTTTAAAATCCGATCCGATCCGAAATTGTGTAATCCGATCCGATCCGAGTTGTGATAAAGAATTCCAATCCGATCCGATCCGAAGAATCCTTTAACAAAATAAATTTCTCATTCAAGTTGAAATGTTTAACGAAATAAATATAAAAACAAGAAATACATGTCAAGAAGCTGACAAAGTGACGTCCAATTGAAGTATCAAACGAAAAATGCAGCGACAACCGCGATAATGCTTTGATAAATGCATGGATAATTAATTGTTGCAATAATGCGTGGATAATTAATTCATTTTATTTCGAATATCGAAGTCCGACTACGAAACAACTTTATCAATTCGATCCGATCCGAAATGTATATTTTTGTTCCGAAATCCGAACGAATCGGATCGGATTTGCACACCTCTAGGACCTATTCCCTAATGAACAACATTTTGATCTATAGACAAGTCTAGACAAAAATTTCATCACAGCTTGAAAGAGTATCACAAAATTAGTAATATTCCGAAGTTTCATTGCGAAATGTTGTAAAATGCGTATAATATAGCCCTGCGAAGTTTGCCGTTTTTCAGTCATTTTGTATTACGCATGGGAATTGATACCTTTTTTCAGAAAGCGGTATCAATTTCCCGTGCGCAATATAAGTGCTCATAATGGCCAACAGGCAACAAGAAGATACGATGACGAAAATCACACCACTTGAAAAACGTCAATTTATTCATGTTTTAGAGGGAATAAAACGAGGAATAAAAGCTCAGGATAAATAACAATACCTGTGGTTTAGTACAAAAAAATTTGGGACTGTCAAAATGTTTTACCGTATTTTTTTGAGTTGAAGAGCGAAGTTCGCTTTGGCACGTCCAAACAAAAGCAAAAATCCTCACTTTTTGCTGCAGAGAAATGTAAAACAGTCGGAAAACCAAGTTTAGATCCAACCATATGGTAGCATTCCCATGGAAAAAGTGTTTTTCTTGCAAATTTTTGCTCCAAAACAAATTTTTACCGAATTTTTTAACTCCTCGAAACTCTCCTTAGTTCTTTTGAAAGCTGATTTTCCCGCGCGTCGGCTTCAACGAATCATAGTCCTTTATCATAGGAGTTATCATTCCAGTTTACTTATAGTTCAATGGTCATCCCATTTCATTGTACGAAATATTTTCGTGACGACTTTACGCATGTCTTAGAAGTGCAGTGTTTCAATTATATTTCCTTCAAGTCAAGCATTGGGTCGTCAGGAAAATATTTCATGCACTGTATAAATTGTATAAGATTCGGATCAATTCCCGTTCACTCGATAGCTCAATTTGTAGAGCGGCGGTCTGGAAACCCGAAGATGCGAGGTCGAATCCCGCTCGAGGCAACGAATTCTTCGTTGTTCTCTGCCGTGTCAGTATAATATGAAACTAATTTTTTACAACAATTTTGATTGGAATAGTTGTTTTTTGGATAACCGGCACCTTTTATTTCTTATGTTGTTCTTGTTCGTGAAGTGGTTTTTAGTAACAAAACGTTCAGGACAAATTACTAATGAAAACATCAGGCCTTAAAATATCGGTCGGTCACGGACACTGTCCGACCCATTCGTCAAATTGTCCGACGTAGAGAGGAAACCCCCGTGTCCGACCGAACTGTAGCTTTGTCCGACGCTTTCTCCGTGTACGTAAATCAAAATGTATCCTAGTCCAGGACTGGAGAGCCAGAGTATTGTACAAAAATGAACCGGAAATGTTGTTTTTAATAATGTCATCGAGCGCAGGGCGGCGAGCGAAAGGATTAAGTAGAAAACGGGCTTAAGTTGTCGGAGTCGTACTACTATTATTGACAAGCAAGTTAATCTTGGCTTGGAAATAAGTATGAATGACACAAATTATTTAATATCTTCACAATATTTGTTCAGAATTAATACATTAAGAGAGCTTGGGTACGAGGTTCTACATTGTGCTGATATAGCCTCCTCCGCTGCAGCTATCTCTTGGGTAACTTACTTTACAAAGTCGGTGAATTTTTTTGCCTGCAAGCAAATTTTGCCCGATAATCCTAAAGGCGATGCCTGCGGAAGAGGCTGGTGCTGATATTAATTTGCGTCCTTCAGACTTATTTATGAGCCAAACTGAACTGAACTCTGAAGGTCATCGGACATCATCATACATATGTCCGACCCAAACTCGAAGTCATCCGACATTTTGTCAGACGGCATTGTAAAAGATATTTTAAGGCCTGAAACATTATCTCTGTCCTATCTAATGCCTTTTTGTCCAGAGGCGTAGTCAAAATGGTGGCAAGCCCTCAGCCTTCCTTGGATACCTATCTGGCGCCATCACACTGGAGTGTATAAAATCTTGCCAAGGGATGCACCGGAACTAATATTTAAAGTTCCAGACAGGCTACACAAGTTATACCTTAAAACGCTGGAATTGATTTCTATAGGAAAACGTATGCCTATGTAATTAAATGGTGCCATCAATGTGATTTGTTCTCTGGAATCCTAAAGGCCCATTTACACTTGTAATTTCGCTGCGATTTCTAGTGGGATGCACGTGAACTTCTGATGCATGTGAACGAGTAGATAAGTTATGAATGCTTGGAGTACATGTCTCCTCATCTGCATAACTCATCCACTCGTTCACATCCATGAGAAGAAGAAAGTCGCACCTAAAATCGGGCCTTAAAAAGAGGGTTCCCCCTCCATCCAATTTTCAGTGCACTCTAATTTTGCCCGATATCCAGGGCTTCGGCCCTGCATTTATTATAGCATTTACATTGAAAATTGTATGTTTTTCTTTTAAGGACTCTGAAGTCGTACAAATACATAATGAATCTAATGGCTTATGCTGGTAAAATATTCTGGACAAAGGCATCACTTGATATACTTCGTATTACGAAACATACCGAAGATAACACGATTAAGGTTCGCTGGGCAGCGAAAGGAGTCCCATGGTATCAACTGCCGTTTTTTCTGCTATCTGGGAAACCACAATCCCTGTTTTATAGGTAAGAATTTCTTTGGTTAATTGAGATTTACTATGTAAACCAGAGAACTTCGGCCTTCTCTATACCAACCGTGTATGGTGTCGTATTATCGGTAATACTAGAAATACATGCATGCAGCAACCCCTCGCATGTATTTTCCAAACATTGATTTAACATGAAGTATTAGTAATTGATTAACACTGAACATGTGATTGAACGCAGGCTCGCGTTTACCTCAGTGTTGCCATGGCAACACGATAAATTTTATTTTTTTAAGTTATAATATTTGTACAACACGCCAAAAATAGTTATTATTATTATTATTATTAAAACTTTATTTAAAAAAGGTTAATTTACAATGAAATATGCCAGTTTAGCTTTCGCTAATCTTCCACTGGACCTTCTAAAGTTAACTATATAATCGAATATATTTACATGCAGTACAATTTACATTTCTACAGACTACAGTATACATAATTACATAAGGGGCCATTCACAAAGGATGTCCGAGCCGAGGGGGGGAGGGGGGTTTGGAAAATCAGGACAAACTCGGACATAGGGGGGGAGGGGGCGGGGTTAGCAATCCGGATGTCCGAAATTTAAAAAAATTCAAAAACAAATTTCTTTTTTCCCTCTATTTTGAGCAGTCTTTCCCATTGTGAAATTGGCATTTTGACTATGCGGTTAACACTAGATTTTGTTTTAATTAGTAGTAAAGCCCCCCACTATGGCGGCGGAAGTAATTAGTATGCAAGTCTGATTTGGTGCGGGAAGTAATTAGCATGCAAAATCTATGACGTCACTTTGTTCGGCTAACAATCTGGCGGATTTTATAATGAGCATGCAAAATCTATGACGCCAGGTAGCGCGACCAATTAACGCGGGCAGGCCTGGGCCAAACGTGACAGGTAGCGCGACCAATTAACGCGGGCAGGTCTGGGCCAACTGTGGCAGGCGATCGATTAGCATTACAATGCAGTAACGAGACCAATTAGCGGCACAACACAGTAACGCGACCAAACAAATTATCAGAGATTATAAATATAGTGTATCAAACACACGTTTCATTTCTCACTGTTGCATTTTGGCGAGTGGTCTCTGGTTTTCTCAAGTGTTGTCTGGTTCTGAAGTGTTCTCTGCTTTTGGATTGCGTTGGATTGTTTTTTAAAATGGCTCATTCGGTAAGTTTGTGTATTTGTTTTGAATATATGTTTACGATAGTTTCAGAGTCATAGGCTGGATAAAATTTGTTTTTGAATATATGTTTACAATAGTTTTAGATTAATATGTTTATGATATTTTTAGATTAATATGTTGGATCTTATCAAAGCTTGTGAAGCTGAAAGTGAACTCGACTTTCTTCAGGAGTCGTTTGTTCTGACTGATGAGCAGAAGGAAGCTGTTCTTCAACAGCGCATTATATTTTGGACGAACGCGATGGCCGAAGATATTGAACGGGAGAATCCGGTTGGAGTTGACCCTGATATGATGGCAAACTGGACCGAGGATCAACGTCGCCTGTTCAACGAAGACTGGGCCAATGATGATGGTTTATGCGAACTCGAACAGATGCCTGAACCGCCAGAAAACCAAATAGGTGAAGGGAGCAAGCGAAGGCACGCCAGTGATCACGCCCCCTCAAAACGCCAAAGACCAGAGGAGTATTTCACTATTAAATCAGCCAAGCAAGTTAACGTGAGGAAATTCAGGACGACAGGTACACATTAAACTGTTTTTATATTTTTAAGCGTAACATCGGCTACGTGTGGGATATTGATTGTTATGTGCGAGTGAGGTTTCGTTTTTATTAGGCTCCATTTACACTATACCGGATTGCTATCGGAGTGGGTCAATTTGTAGGTATCGAAAGGCTGTGAAGATTTTTAATCTCAGAGCCCCAAATAAACATGCCAATTCTGTCAAACTAATAAGCATTTGCTACTAGCCATTGCTCCGTAACGGCAAAAGAAGATGTAGTGACCAGCGAATCCGGTATAGTGTAAACCGCGGCTTATAAGAGTTATATTTATTGCTTGTGTGTAAATCTGTAAAGCGCAAACATATCCAACGCATATGCTTTTTATAAATTGGCCATAACTTTCAAATGAAGCTTTAGTATTTACTGGGTTTATGATTGGAATTGTAGCTAAAGTATAGCAGTATCCGATAAATAGCCTTGTTTGTACAACCCACGACCCCCCGTTTTAGGTATTCTTTTTAGGATTATTCTATATTACTGGGTAATCTCTATAATGATTATTGTCGTATGTCCAATGAGTGATAGCTTTAAAGTTTGTTCGTTCACTGCAATCAGATATATAAATCATGTTGTTCGTTGGTTGTCCGTTAATCTCTCACTGTGGACACATGTTGCCATGAAAATAAGACGCAGGCCAGGCCGAACGTGTTTATATTTCCACAAGCCTAGGCCTATGCCACCACTTGTAGTGAGCCCAGATTTCCAGGCATAGGCCAGACCCCAAGGCCAGGCAAAGACTAGGCCAAAGTCTGTTTACACTGTCAAAATGTATGCCACGGCTAATGCAAGACTTGTACTGTAAACACGACTCATGAAATGTTGGGTGTTTAAGGCTACTTGCTACCAACTATAGTCTTCTGATTGCTATTACTTGGTTAGTACAATATTGTATGACGGTTTTTAGGTACAGACTACACTGTCCAATTCAATCCGTTGGACGTGCACGGGGTGTCAAACGTCATGTCGACGTTGAACCGCGCATTTCAACACTTATTTGACCGACTTACGAGTGACATGGCACCTCACGATCAAGTTCGCTTGATCCTCAACTCGCATCAGCTGGACAAATCCATTTCCTTGCCTTTCCTACAACGAGATCGTCTGACGCCTGAACGTTTCCTAGCTGCTATTGAACGTGTCGTACAGTCCAATGACCAATTTACTTTGGATAACTCTGTCAGCGTCAACGTGGTCCATGTAGAAATGCCTAACGGTGCCGGTAGAAAACGACGTGACGTTGTGAACTTGGAAAGTTACTTAACGAAAAAACGAGGCATAGTCCAAGTCAAAAACAAAGATGATCTCTGCTGTGCCCGCGCAATCGTAGTGGCCAAAGCAAAGCTGGACAAAGATCCAAAGTATAAGAGTATTGTTGATCACCGACGAGCTATGCAGACAACCCTTGCTCATCAACTTCACGAGTCAGCGGGTGTTCCTCTTGGTTCCTGTGGCATCCCAGAAATCAAGAAGTTCCAAACTGCTCTTTCTGATTATCAACTCAACGTGATTTCCAAGGAACATTTGAATGCCCTCATCTACTCAGGTCCTGAAGCTGAAAAACACCTATATTTGTACCATCATGACAACCATTACGATGTCATCACCAGTATGCCTGCCTTCCTCGCCCGTAAACAGTATTGCCATAAATGCAAGAAGGGCTACGACAAGATTACTGACCATCCCTGTGGCGATCTGTGCAAGTTATGTAATATCCAAAACTGTCCCATCGTTGAATGGAAATTTTGCAAAGACTGTAACCGGTTCTTTAAAAGTGACGAATGCTTCAACCGCCATAAAGATGTCGCCGGTCCTGCCAAATCCCTGTGTCGTGCTTTAATTAAATGCAAGAAATGCAAACGTGTTGTTACTCGTGCCAGTCTTCGTGATCATCATTGTGGCAAAGTGAGATGTTCCACCTGTCAAAAATACGTTAAACGTGAAAACCACCAATGCTACCTTCAACCTGTAAAGGTAATGAAGACACGATCCCCTGAAGAAGGAAACGATTTGCTCGATGATGATGTGGCCGTGGAAAACGACGTAGAAGACACCAAAAACTTAATGTTCTTTGACTTTGAGTGCATGCAAGACGATGGTAAACACGTCCCCAGTCTCTGCGTAGTCCAGAACGAAAGCGGTGACGAGAAAGCCTTTTCTGGCCCAAACACTAAAGACGAGCTTTGCGAGTGGATGTTTCAGCAAGAAAACGCGAATACGACGTTTGTCGCGCATAACTTCCAGGCCATGGTACAACGACCAAGAACAGCGTCAGTACGAGTTCGACTTTCAAGCCGAAATTCTGCGATACTGTCAATCCGATGTGGACATTTTGCGTCGCTGCTGTCTCGAGTTCCGCGAACTTTTCAGCCAAATCACAGATGTTGACCCTTTCGCCTCTTGTCTCACCATTGCCTCTGCTTGTAATCTCGTCTTCCGTAAAACGTTCCTCCAGGAGAACACCATCGCCGTCATTCCTCCTTGCGGGTACAAGCCTGAAAACAAACAGTCTGTCATCGCCTTGAAGATGTTGGCCTGGATTGCAGAACGTGATAACATTGCCATTCGTCACGCCCGGAACCACGGAGAGCAGCGCATTGACAAGTATCTTGTCGATGGTTTCAACGTCGAGACAAACACTGTTTGGGAAATTCAAGGATGCCTGTGGCATGGATGCGAAAGGTGTTATGCCAGAGATACCGTGAATCCGATCAACCATATGACCATGCAAGATCTTAAGCAGCGAACCCTAGAGAAAATCCAATTCCTAAAGGACAACGGATACAATGTCGTAGAGATTTGGACGTGTGATATTGAGCGTCAACTTGCCACCGAACCCGAGATGAAAGACTTCTTCGACAATTTCGAGATCTCTGAACCTCTGGAACCTCGTCATGCATTCTTTGGTGGAAAGACTAACGCAACACGCCTATACTACGACGTCCAGCCAGAAGAGAAGATCCGTCATGTGGATTTCTGCAGCCTCTACCCATGGTATGTATGTTGTTGAAGTCTTTTAACTCAAACGTGCTTGTCGTTAACCTTCTTAAGCAAGTTTTAGGTGTAACAAATACGGCGAGTATCCAATTGGCCATCCCGAGATTATTACTGAGAACTTTCAACCTATCAGTGACTACTTTGGTTTGGTGAAATGTTCTGTGCTTCCTCCTCGTGCCCTATACCACCCCGTCCTCCCTTACCGTACTCAGGGTAAATTGATGTGTCGTAACTGTGCCGACAACCTTCAACAAGAGCCATGCCATCACAGCGACGCCGAGCGAACACTTCATGGGACGTGGGTGACTTTGGAGCTCGAGAAAGCACTAGAGAAAGGCTACAAACTGGTGAGAATCGACGAAGTTTGGCACTTCCCCGAGCACACAGATGGACTGTTTAAGGACTATATTGATACGTTCCTCAAAATCAAGCAAGAGGTAAGGTTTCATCACATGTGTGATATTGTCACATCATTAGTTTCTCATTATTCCTTTCTCTTTTGCAGGCGAGTGGCTTTCCTCCGGAATGTGACACCGACGAGAAGAAGGGGCAGTACATCGCTGACTACGCCGCAAAAGAAGGTATTCAGTTGGATCCAAGACAGATTGTGAAGAATCCTGGTCTGAGGGCGTTGGCGAAGCTCATGTTGAACTCTTTTTGGGGTAAGTGCAATGGCAAATTGTCCACTAACGGTACTTGTTTTTCCTAGGGAAAAAACAAGTGTTTGTTAAAAACCGATCATTTCTTGTAGGAAAGTTTGCGCAACGACCCAATATGACCAAGGTCAAAATTATATCGGATCCAGCTGAATATTTTGACCTCCTCTTCAGCGACCAGATTAACGTCACCGACGCGAATTTCATCAATGACGAGCTTATCGAAGTCCATTTTGAAAACGTTGACGAATTCGTGGAAGCCGACGGAAAGACAAATGTGGTCATCGCAGCGTTCACCACAGCCCAAGCCCGCCTCAAGCTCTATGGTGTCCTGAAGCAGTTAAATCGCCGAGTCTTGTATTTTGACACAGACTCAGTAATTTATGTTTCAAAGGAAGACGAATGGGAGCCGCCGACAGGATCCTATCTTGGTCAATTAACAGATGAGTTAGATGGAGGTTACATTACCACCTTTGTGTCTGGAGGTCCTAAAAACTATGCCTACGAGACAAGCACAGACAAAACAGTATGCAAAGTTAGAGGGATCACCTTAAACTACAGAACTGCACAAAAGGTTAATTTTAATTTAATGTGTGATATGGTTTGTTTAGAAGCGTTGTCTGATCTCACAGACAGCATAACTGTAAATATACCATACAAGATAAATAGAGACACTAAAGAGAAAAGTGTAATGACGAGGAGTGAGAACAAGGACTATCGTATTGTATATAATAAACGTGTGATTGTAAATAATTTTGATACATTGCCTTATGGTTTTTAAATTAATAAATGATTTCAAACATAAAAGTTATGTGTGTAATGGTACAACTGCGGGGATTTCCGGGGATTTTTTCCCTAGAGGAACATTCGTTTTTATTAGGGTTTAATATCGGTAATTATGTTTCCATGGGGACCTTCGTCTGTGCCGGGGACATCCGGGGACAAAAATTAGTCCCCGGAGGGCCTTTCTAAAGGGACAACGGCTATAATAGGGACTACTGCTGGTAATTATGTCCCCATGGGCACATTCGTCTGTGCCGGGGACATCCGGGGACAAAACTTAGTCCCCAAAGGGACTAAGGGACAATCGGCTATAATAGGGACTACTGTTGGTAAATATGTCCCCATGGGCACATTCGTCTGTGCCAGGGACATCCGGGGACAAAAATTAGCCCCCAAAGGGACTATCTGTAGAGGGACAATCGGCTATAATAGGGACTAATGTTATTAATTATGGCCCCGTGGGGACATTCGTCTGTGCCGGGGACATCCGGGGACAAAAATTAGTCCCCGGAGGGACTATTTAGGTGGTGGTATGCTCGGAAACATTCATTTGATAGCATGCCTCGAACGCGTAAGGTCTGTCTCGTGTGCGGAAAGAAAGGTTTATTAAAATTATCTAATCATTTAACCAATGTTCATAAACTATCTACTCAAGAGAGACAACCATACCTTATTCGTGCTAAGAAAATGCCTATTGATAAAGCAACGGTATTGATCGAGTTGCAAAAGATAAATAGACTGATCGAAAAGTATCTGCTTTCATTTTCATCATGTACTCCATACAGTTAAGACACCCGTTTGGGCTTCTCGTTTCTGGCGGTACAAAATCAGGCAAAACTACCTTTGTGAAAAGGTTTCTCAGCTATGCCAATGTGCTGATTGATCCAACGCCTGAAAACATTATTTACTTCTATGCCGAGTACCAAGACACGTTTGGAGAAATACAAAATTTAGTGCCTGGTATAAAATTCATACAAGGCTTGCCGGATAATATAATGGATAGTATCAATCCAGAATCACGCAATTTGTTCATCATTGACGATATGATGGGTGAGAAGGACGGAGTGATTTCTAAATTGTTCACGAAAAAATCCCACCATGGTAATCTAAGCGTAATCTACATTGTGCAAAACTTGTTTCACCAGAGCAAAGAGCATCGCACAATATCTCTCAATGCAAGTTATTTATGTTTAACAAAAAATGTTCGCGATGCAAGTCAAGTTACTCATCTCGCTAAACAGCTATACCCGAGTCAAACGAAGTTTTTCCAACAAGCTTATCAATTGGCAACGAAAGAACCTTATTCTTATCTATTTGTCGACTTAACTCCTACATGTCCTGACGAGATACGGATTCGATCCGGGATCTTTCCAACCGACACGCATTATGTCTATCAACCCAGAGTATAGAAATGTGGGAATGTGTGTAAAATGTTCATTTGATCATGTGTGCTTGTATGAAGAGGAACTCCGAACTTCTGAAAGTATTGGCCAAGTGTAAACCTGAACTGAGAAAAGCTATTTTGAAAGCGGCTGAAGACGATCTGTTTGAAGCTATAAGACAGTGTCTATTAAACGTTTGGTTTGACACGATTAAACTGAATCCGAAAACAGCTAGAAAACTCGCATCACATTCCAAGCATATAAAGTTTGCGGCTGACAAACGAAATGCTATCGTAAAGAGAAGAACCCGTTTAGTCCAAGGAGGGTTTCCTACCATTTCTACTCACTTCAGTTTTGGAACAGTTGGCTAACTTTTTTATAATGGGGCACGTCAAGCGATTAGTACTTGTCCCTGAACATATGGCTGAACAGCGAAAGAAACCTCTCGCGGCGCCTTTGGCGACACAGGATATTGAAGGATATTATTCGACGACAAGATATACCAATTGATGAAAAGGCAAAGTTATACGACCAGAATCTACAACGCTATTTAACCTTTTATGATAAACAAATGAATAAACCTCTCCGAGTAACGTGACGCACGCCTATAAACCTGAAGAACCTCAAGGAGAACAGCCGAGTGAAGAGACTGAACCTTCCGACGAGATTGAAACAGATATCATGGATAGTGTACCAGCTACTATGAAGTCAAGAGCTCGACAACTCATCAAAAAACTCAAGTCAAGGCCAGATGGTGTTCAAAGGAAGATCGGTTCCTAGCACAAATATAGTAGATTTGGTGAATGATCCTCTACGTCAAAGGAAGAATTTCAACCCCGACGGCTGGGAATTGTTTTCAAAAGTTCTCGGGCATTTGAATGTACCCGAAGGTATTGTGAGAAACGAAAACCGTCTTGGAATTGTTCGCGAATATAAAACCAAAGGTTTCTCGGAAAATCTACCCACCACCCCTCGACTGCAGCAAGAACAGAGAAAAAACCGCAGAGACAATATTAGTAGTCCATATAAATGGTTAAAATAATTTATTTCTTGTAAGAGAATATTTTACAAAAAATTTTTTTTAAACTAAATCTAGTGTTTGTACCACTTGTTTATAAAGTCACGCACAAGCTCATCATTCCATTCTTTGCTATCCGTAAACATATTTGCAATGGTTGACATTGGAATACGTCTACATCGATGTAAAGCAAAGAATAATGTATACTGTCGACACACGTCTGATGAAGGGGCTTGCAAAATTCTTCTGTTCCATGTAAATTAGCGCAATGCTTGTCCAAAAATTGAGTAAAGTTCTGATTGTAAAATCCAGGAGCCTGACCATACGAATCCCAAAATTCCCCTTTACCATCTTCTGTAAGGTACATTGCAATCCAGTGTGATCCGGGCATATCCGATGCGTTCGTGTTAAGTATGTACCCTCTAGGCCTCTTTGTTATTCCGCGAGGTAAACGATCTGACGGTAAAACGTTCGTAAACACCGTTTTTGTAAATGGATCATTCTTGAGAATGTTCATAATCTGCAGCGAGTTCATCTTCAGTTGTTGAAATCACACAGCACGTTCCGGTTCGCATCAATTTCGATAAGACTTTGAAATTTACCAAGTACCACGATATTTATAGCTGTCTCCAACGGTGTTCCAAATCGACATTCAATTGACACATTTCCGTTCTTAATCGGTTGTACATGATCACCAAGGCATAAGTCAGGAGTGAGATCAAACGCAAACAGTGTATAACCATTACCCTGATTATCGAAAATCTTGTGTGCGCCGGCGTACAGGGTTTGAAAAGCGGAAATGTAATTACTGTCTGCTCCAAATTTCAACTGTAGTGGTTTTCCAGGTAAGTTCTCTCCGTTGACAGTGAGACCCATGGTTGTGATATCGTAATTTTTAGAATTGAACGGGTTCTTCGTATATGTACCGTTAAAGGCACCCGCGTCGACCATTCCAATAACAATACGATTTGGTAAACCACCTTGAAATATATTAGGTTGATTTCCAGACTTATTCCCCCGAGGTACGGAGACAACCTTACAGTCGATCCTGTTGATTGGGTATTTGGCAGTGATTTGTTGAAGGGACTGGGAATGAGCCAGTATAATGCTAGGGGCTACGTTAACTCGTCGTACACGATACAAACATTCCTCGATGACCACTTTGAAATTGGGATCTTCTGCGGATGATACCAAACAAAACGGATCTCTAGATCTCACCAGCTTGATCTTGATTGGAACAGCACCAAGAATATAACGGTCTTGCGCGAATAGATCAGAATGAAGTCTTCCTTCCATGGCGACAGATTTGCTTTCACGTGTATATGCATGGCGTTGTTTTAATTCCGTGTTGACGTGGGCATCTTGTGCGAGCGGATTTACTGCATCCATCTTTCCAGCTTTATCTTTATAGAACAGTGCTGAGGTCAAATGTGAATCTTTGGCATCTTTACTAAAGTTCAAGATCGTTTCGATATACGCTCGGTAAGGGTAGGCTGTGCTTGATGGGGTGACCAGTTTGTTGTTCAAAAATACTTCAACTTGTGAGAATAATGCATGCATCCAAAGGTTTGAAGGTCCAACTTGAATGTCGGCACCCACATTACCTCCGGCCGCAGTAATGATCTTTGCTTTAACGTATAGGTAACTGCTTGCTAAGTCAGTATAAACTTCAGAATTTGCAGCACATAAAAATTATATCGTATCTGAAGAAGATATACTCGTAATAGGATCAATATCTTCCCAAAATCCTTTTTCCATTACCACTTGAGTCGGTGGAACAGAAAATAAATCAAGTTCAGATTTTGAACACATACACGAGTCTTTATGCATTGTTTCAAGAGCCATGCCACTTTGGACTATAGTTATTGAGAGATGATTTCTGCTTCTTGGTTGGACCGCGAATGGGAGTTTTAGTTGGCGCTGCTCTTTTTATACCCTTTTTGCGACCCTTTCCGGTCATTACTTTCCTGGCAACATCAGATGCTGCTTGTTTTCCTCGTGATTTAAAAGCTTCTTTTACATTTTTTCCTTGGAGTACATCTTGACCGACTTCTGTGGCTGCTTGCAATGCTCTTTTGCCAACAACTTTAGCACCTTGTTTGAATATAGGGATAGCATATCTCGCAAGGCTCTTGAAAATACTTCCGATTCCATATCCTCTTTGCATACGTGCACCACGAAACCCAGCGATATTCCCACCACGTTGCTGTCTCAAGAAATGGTCTTTCAATAGTTTAGCATCCACAACTAGTCTTCCGCGCATTTTTAGATAAAGTACTGAGATCTCTTCTGTCTAAAGTGAAGTGTTGCGATTGACTTCCCGAACTCAAATGAGACGTTTTCGTTTTGGTCATTCTTTATATTAACTTCAATGGTCTCAAAAGAATTTACTTTGACCGGTACGTATTGCAAATTACGAAAACTGGCGTGAACGGTGTTTCCATATTCCCCTTCGATATTGACGATTCGTAGTAAAGGCACTTTCACATCCCCCACAAACTGTGTATCAACGATATCAGTATAGACATACATGGAGGAAAATCCACCATTGATATCTGCAGCATAGGGACTCGACGTTTTCTTTTCAATAAGTGTGTC